TCATCATCATCAACATCATGATAATCGTCAACATCGCCCTCATCCCATCACCACCATTATCACCATCACCAGCATCATCATCCGCATAATGATCATCATCAGCATCATCATCATCATACGCATTCATCTGCATCAAGAGCAGCGTCATAATCGTCGTCATCACCGTCGTCACCACCATCAGCATAATCACCATCATCATCATCAACGTCATCATCACCATCAGCACCATCAGTATCATCAAAATCATCATCGCGTCCGTCTTCATCAGAATCCAGCCTCCTCCTCCTCCTCCTCCTCCTCCTCCTCCTAAAGGTCCGCCGTCTCCTCCTTTATATTGCTCGCTCTTCCCTCGACCTCCTCTCGCATCCGTCCTCCGCTCTCCTTCCTCATGCCTCCGTCATCCGTCCTCCTCCTCCTCCTCCTCTTCTTCCTCCTCGTCCACCTCCTCCGCCTCTTCCTCATTCTCCTTCTCCGCTTCCCCCCCCTCCTCCTCCTCCTCACCACCACCACCACCACCCCCACCGCCCCCGACGTAACCACTGCCACCAACACCGCCACTCAACGGCCAGCAACATCATCATCACCATCGGCATCATCATCAGCATCAGCATCAGCATCATCATGATCATCATCAGCAGCATCAGCATCATCATCATAATCAGCAGCATCATCTCCATCAGCATCATCATCAGCATCAACACCATCATCACAATCACCATTATCAGAATCGGCAACGCCATCATCAGCATCATCATCATGTTCATCAGCATCATCAGCATCAGCACCAGCAGCATCATCATCAGCATAATCAGCATCAGCATGATCTTCATCAGCATCAGCACCAGCATCAGCATCATCAGCATCGTCATCATTATCACCATCATCATCGTCATCATCACCCTCAGCAACAACAAGCTCATCAGCAGCAGCATCGTTACCCTCATCATCATCAGTTTCGTCATCATCACCATCAACTCATCATCACTAGCATCATCAGCATCACTCTCAGCATCATCATCAACATCATCAGCATCACCAGCATCATCATTATCGTCATCATCGTCGTCACCATCGTCGTCATCATCAACAACATCATCATCATCATCATCGTCATCGTCATCATCAACACCATCAGCATCGGAGGATGGGAGCGGCAGGGATGGGAGGGTATGGGATATGGGGTGGTAAGGGAGGGATGGCGAGGGCATGGGGATTGAATTGAACAGATGGGTGGGAAAGGGGAGGAAGGGAGGAAGGGACGGAGGACGAGAGGGGAGAGGAATGAGGAGAGGAGGTTCGATGCCGAGAGTGCTGTGCGAAAGGAGAATGCCTCCATACGCCCCGACGCCCCAAAATCTCTCCCACCAGACACCTGGCGCCTCGATTTGTTCGAGACATGGGCTCCCGGACCTATCGGCTCCTTCCCTGGGCAGATGTTTTAATTCGAGTCGCTTCTTGACGGTCCCGAAGCCCAGAAACGGCCCCTTGAGGCTGGAACCATTACAAAATGGACGTTTTGTTCTTTTCAAGACGCCTTGTGTCTGGGATCCTCCTGCACCTCACCCTGGAGAGAACCGAGACTCTGGAGATCTCTGGGAAGTCGTCGGGCGCTCCCAGAAGCCTCCACGAACATGTCCACCCTCCCCCACCCCTCCTCCTTCCTGCCCCCCTTTTCATCGCTGCTATTCCTGCCCCTCCCCCTGGACGGGGGGGAACCAACCCCCCCGTCCTTTCGACTGTGCTCCCAACGTGGAACCCCGGAGATCTCGACCCCTTCGCTGGGATCGGTGTTCCACCCAGTTTTGACAAAGGCCCCAAAAAGCCGACACTGGCCAAAAAGCTTCAATCGTAGAGACACAAAACAAGTCACAAGTTTTCGGAGCTCCGCGCGGATATCTTGGCCCGAGGCGCCGCCAGGGGGCCCAGCGTATATCCAAGAAACACGCGCCGAGCTCCGAGAGTGTAAGTTTCTGTTTCCCCCGATGTGTTCGACACCGTGCGTCTCTCCCCGCCAGAGGAGGTCAGGGGATAGAGCATGGAGGAGAAGGCGGTGCGCGAAGCGAGCCGAAGGCCTGGGAGCCCCCACGCCGCCGCCGGCACAGCTCCTGCGCCCACGGCCGCCCATTCCCTACACGATGCCACTGCTGCCGCTGCTCGAACCTGGCACGCACTGGCTCGGGCGTGGACTCACCCGCGGCTCAGCGCCAACCTGGCTCAGTCAGTTTCGAAAACTGCACTCGAATGACCGCAGGGGGTATTGAATACGCCCCCCAATAGTGTGCCGTGGGCTAGTTGGCGGTTGCCGACGCCCATCAATACTCGGCAAAAACAGATCCCGCCACTGTCGCCGCAGTCGCCGTGCTGTTGTCGTCGTTGTCGTCTTCAATACGATTCAATTACGGCTGCTTCTTCTACTACATCTACTACTACTTCGATTACTACTACTACTACTACTACTACTACTACTACTACTACTACTACTACTACTCCTACTACTACTACTACTACTACTACTACTACTACTACTACGACTACTACTACGACTACTACTACTACTACTACGACTACTACGACTACTACTCTACTACTACTACTACTACTACTACTACTACGACGACGACACGACGACGACGACGACGACGACGACGACGACGACGACGACGACGACGACGACGACGACGACGACTACTAAAACTAACTAAACTACTCTACTCCTACTCCTTGTCCTACTCCTACTCCTACTCCTATCCTTATTCCTTATTAGAATATACTCCTACTCCCCCCTCAGGCCGGCAGATAGGGGCCCCATCCGGGTGGTCCCATCCTAACTTGTAAAAAACAATACAAAAGCAACATGTTTCTTATTTTTTCCTCTCGACATGGACGTCCTGTCGTCCACGGCGATAATCCATTGCAAAAAATACCACAAAGAGCACACGCGCGCGTTCATGTCAGAATCCTACCGAACACCGTGTGTTTGCAAGCATTTCAACATAAAAACATCAAAAACCAAATGCTTTTTCACAAAAATTGTACAAATTTCCCGCCCGGGCTCTCTTGCTGAAATCATAGGAAAACCATAGGAATCTTAAGAATTCTGTCAAATCCAGCGATTTCACGTCATCGCGCGGTGCACTCGCGATGCTCTGTCATGCACCCAGGCCGCGAATCCTGTGCAAAAAATACCACGCGGGCGACATGCGCGCGCGTCGCCGCGAGCGCATGCTCAAATCCTTCTAGAGTCGTCGCCGTCATTGGCACCGTCGCATGGACGTCCTGTCGTCCACGTCGCAAAATGCATGGCAGGAATGGGACCCGGCTTACCGGGCCGTTGTCGACACGGCCACCTCTGGCTTCCTGCGGTGTACCGGGCCATTCTCGACTCGTCTGGCAATGCGTGCGCGGCATTCAACACGCGCTCGCCAGTTCCCGTCGGCAACCGCCATCGCGGCCGCATCAGCTGTACCAAACCGGCTGGCCGGTGTGACTTCGGCCCCCAGTTGTGCCAGCTTTGCTTCTTATGTTGTGGGAGGGCGGGTGGGACTGGGCATGCCATGCTTGACTCGCTCGAGCTGGCTAGCTTGACTCCTACTCCTACTCCTACTCCTACTCCTACTCCTACTCCTACTCCTACTCTACTCCTACTCACCTCCTACTCCTACTACTACTACTACTACTACTACTACTACTACTACTACTACTACTACTACTACTACTACTACTACTACTACTACTACTACTACTACTACGACTACGACTACGACTACGACTACGACTACGACTACGACGACGACTACTACTACTACTACTACTACTACTACTACTACTACTACTACTACTACTACTACCTCTACTACCTCTACTACCTCTACTACCTCTACTAGCTCTACTACCTCTACTACTTCTACTACCTCTATTACTTCTACTACCTCTACTACTGCTACTACGTCCACTACTACTACTACTACTACTACTACTACTACTACTACTACTACTACTACTACTACTACTACTACTACTACTACTACGACTACTACTAAGACTACGACTACGACTACTACTACTACTACTACTACTACTACTACTACTACTACTACTACTACTACTACTACTACTACTACTACTACTACTACGACTACTACTACTACTACTACTACTACGAACTACTACTACGACTACTATACTACTACTACGACTACTTCTACTACTACGACTACTACTACTACTACTACTACACTACTACTACTACTACTACTACTACTACTACTACTACTACTACTACTACTACTACTACTACTACGACTACTACTAACTACTACTATACTAGTACTACTACTACTACTACTACACTACTACTACTACTACTACTACTACTACTACTACTACTACTACTACTACGACTACTACGACTACGACTACTACTATTACTACTAACTATACTACTACTACTACTACTACTACTACTACTACTACTACTACTACTACTACTACTACTACGACTACGACTACGACTACCACTACGACTACGACTACGACTACGACTTACTACTACTACTACTACTACTACTACTACTACTACTACTACTACTACTACTACTACTACTACTACTACGACTACGACTAAGACTACGACTACGACTACGACTACTACTACTACTACTACTACTACTACTACTACTACTACTACTACTACTACTACTACTACTACTACTTACTACTACTTACTTACTACTACTACTACTACACTACTACTACTACTACTACTACTACTACTACTACTACTACTACTACTACTACTACTACTACTACTACTACTACTACTACTACTACTACTACTACTACTACTACTACTACTACTACTACTACTACTACTACTACTACTACTACTACTACTACTACTACTACTACTACTACTACTACTACTACTACTACTACTACTGAGCGGAGAAGAATAAGATGAAGATGGGCACGGACGGAGGTAGATGAGTACGTTGCGCTTCTTAGCTGATAAAGCTGCTGGTGATCACGCTCTGGTCCTGCGGCGGCACCCATTTCTGGGTGATCTTCTTGCGCTGCGTGAAGAACTCCATGGCCCCGTCTCCAGTGATGTCCGAAGCTGCGAACGAACTGTCGTTCATGCCCCCGAAGCTGAAGGGCTCGCGCGGGACGGGCACACCGATGTTCACGCCCAGCATGGCCGCCGAGACGCGCTTCAGGAAGTACTCGGAGTGCTGCCCGACGGACGTGTAGATGCAGGCCGCGTTGCCGTAGGGGTTCGAGTTCTCGATCGCGATGGCCTCGTCGAACGTGTCCACGCGCAGCATGGGTCGGGCGTAGCCAAGGGAACCCTAGGCCCAAGGCGTCCCCAGGATGCCCGTGGGGGGGCTCCCGCCGGCGCCCAACGTCACCCCTCACGAAGCCCGGAGGGCCCAAGAGGGGCCCGGAACGGCCCGCAGAGCTGGGAACACCGTGGGACCAGCAGACCCTGAGATCCGACGGCAAGGAAAAAAACGCAACCCAGTCAAGAACCACTGCCGGAGCCCCGGAGCCCAAATCTCTCTGCGGCTCTCGTCGAGGCGGACCGATCTGCGAGGTCCACGGCGCCCGAAGGCCGGGCGAAAACGCGCATTGTGAAACAGTGGCACCGCCCGAGTCGCAGGGGACGAATTGGCACCTTGCATGAAGAGAGCGGGCCCCGAGGGAAACGGGTCCTGGACACCGAAGGCCGGCTCCTCGTCCAGGGCCGTCTTGCTGGCGGCCCTGCGGTCCGTGGAGGGCCCGGGGAGCCCAGCAACGACGGACAACGAAACCTCAGGACCCGTTCCCTTGAAGAACCGTTTGATTCATTGGTGGGCCATTTTTCCCACCACCACTACCATAGATAGGAAAGGAAGAGGTGGTGGTGGTGGTGGTGGTGGCATGCTATAAGAGATGGGGGCCATCCAGCATGACATACTACTCTAAACGCAGCAGCGGAGCGAGAGGGCAGGAACTCAGGCAAAGACGACGACAAAGTAAACCTCGTTCAAGAAGATATCACATACGCTAGCACGATTCTTGGATTCTCCCAATCTCCATACATGTACTCCTCCTCGGTTCTGCTCTGTGGCGGCTGTAGGTGAGGAACAAAACGCCTTTCAAATGCAACCTCGGTTCTGCTATGTGAAGCTGAAGGTGAGGAACAAAACGCCTCTCAAATGCAACCACGGTTCTGATCTGTGCGGCTGTAGATGAGGAACAAAACGCCTATCAAATGCGACCTCGGTTCTGCACTGCGAAGCTGTAGGTGAGGAACAAAACGCCTCTCAAATGCAACCTCGGTTCTGCACTGCGAAGCTGTAGGTGAGGAACAAAACGCCTCTCAAATGCAACCTCGGTTCTGCTCTGTGAAGCTGTATGTGAGGAACAGAACGCCTCTCAAATGCAACCTCGATTCTGGTTGGCGAAGCTGTAGGTGAGGAACAAAACGCCTCTCAAATGCAACCTCGGTTCTGCTCGGTGAAGCTGTAGGTAAGCCTCAAACACTAGCACGATCTTTAGATTCCCCCAGCCGCCAAAGGATGTACTCCTCCTCATACGCCTTCCACGCATATCTATCTAGAGCCAATTCCGCCCAGTGAATACGTCGAGGAAAATAGAATCTAGTCAATTGATATTCCCAGACACATTGCCACGAAAACTTCTGGAAACCCTGTTTTTCTCCTTCTCTTTGTTCAGTTACAGCGTGTTGGTGAGAATTCCAGTTCAGAACATGACCCAGAATAGAATCAGGATTCTGATGAGCTTTACGTGCGATATGGCCAGCATACCTATGAAGACGACGCCATACTATTACATCTAGGTCCTGGATGTGTTCAGCAATCTTGATTTTCTTAATCTGCGACCTGACCGACCGAGAATACGATTCATCAGTTTCTTCTGGTAGACGAGGCCAGCGTATGTGACGAGCAAATTGTTTTGTCTGAGCCGCACGCAAAGCCAATGCCTTGCGTCGGCATAGATTCCAGACTGGTGAACACCATAAGCACGAAGATGATACCGTACGGTGAATTAAGCGAAATCTAGATATACGAGTGCTTGACGGACTAGAAAGTAGGTGCTGGACAGATCCCACCACTGATGTAGCCGTGAGCGTTTTAGTGCGACATCTTGATCCAGTTGTCCACGAGCGTTCATCCATATGCCAGTGACCTTCATCGCCTTATCATGCGGGATAATCTTAACAGCAGGCCACATCTTGGACCAAGGATGTTTTTCCTTGGTATTGTTCACCAAGAGCGTGATACGATCTTCAGGAAGGTCCCAGCCATAAAGAACAAGTGCTGCACGACATCTCTTCCATATCTCACGCGCATCCACGATACTGTTGGCCAGTATGAACAGATTGTCACTCCAAACCAAGAAGGGAATAAACTTGAAATTGCACATTTTGCGCCACTTGGAATAATGATGACCACAGTAAGCAACACCCAGCATCGCAATGCCAAGTCGATCGGCCACACACTTCTGCCATACTGGGCGCAGACAAGCAGTAAGCACCATTTTGAAGAAAGCCGGCCCCCAAGCAGACCCTTGAGGAACGCCGCGAGTAATGGGTGACGTGGTAGCCGTGTCACCCACCAAGTGCACATTATATCGAATAGATCGTAAGTGTCTGAGGAACCAAGCAGCAATAAAATCTGGTACACCTCGCCTTTGAAGGGATTGAAGCACGCGAAGATGGCATACAAAATCAAAAGCCTTAGGAATATCAGCAGAACCAGCAACAAAACCAAGTCCCCCTTGCATACACTTCTGAGCCATCATCATAATAATGAAGACCATGTCCATGACGCTGTGCCCCTCACGATAAGCAAATTGCCAGGGGGCGATGTCATGAATCTTATCCTTGATAGATTCAAGAAGGGCACCTCCTACCATCTTTGGAAGCACTGGCATAATCGCCAGCGGCCTTAGCAAGTTGAACCAAGTGACCGAGCTCTCCTTCGGAACCAATGCCAAATCACACAAAGTCCGCTGGGTGTCCATGCGCGCAGCCGCAACATGTAGGGGGCGATCAGCCAAGCACTGTTTCTTCCGCAACACGTCGTGACTATGGTCGAGCTGAAGACGATGAGGCATAACAGTGCAGAACTCACCACGAAGATCACGATCAATGGCTTCTTTAAGTGTCCAAAATGGGTTCTCCACTTGCGTACCCTTCGACGGTAAAATAATTGACACAGGGGCGTCGCGAACTTCTTCGTTCTCTGCACATTCCAAGAGACAAGGGCAGCGTCGAGTACAAGAGTGTTGTAAGCCAAGTGTGAGTGGGCTACATAGATCGTAGTGGTCAATAGCTTCATTTGCCAGAGAGTCTGCAACCTTGTTGAAACAGCGACGGACATGACGGATGCGAACCCTTCCCAGCCGAGCGATGAGAGCAAGAGCCGATGATCGATAAGCCCACGTACGACTATCTAAGACAGACCATAGTCCCGCAAGCTGGTTAACGACTGGATCACAATCACCTTCGATAACGAAATCATATTAAACATCCTCGTTCCGATACCCAAGAGCGATCTCCAGGAGGAAAAGTAGACCATGCCATTCAGCATCAATCGAAGAGCTCCCAGGAGAAAGCCGATGTGAAAAGCGAAACATTTCCACACCCATACCATCATATAGAACACAGCCACATCCAGCATTGTCCTCATCACGCCGAGCCCCATCAAACTGTCCGACCCAGGCTCTCCCATCAGCCCCAGGACCCATATCCCCAAAGTCAATAGTTTTTGGCATAGCTGAGGGGGCGGCGGCACCTTGCATGGCAATGGCCTGCAGCATTTCGGCAACAACCATATCTTCAGAGCAGCGCGACTTACGAGGCTTAAGTAGCATAGTACACTTTAGGAGGTGAGATCTGTTGAAGGTATTGTCTATCTTGAACTTGCCATAGATCCAGGAGGGAATGTTAAGGAGGTTGGAACGAGATTCAGAGAACTGCTTGCTATAATACTTCTGACCAGCATCGACAATCTCCGACGGGTTCGTGATGGACCGGTCTTCTTTTTCAGGATCCCTCAGGGCCAGTCTGCCTGAGGTGCCAGAGGCCTTCTTGCCCCAACCCCCGGCTCGCAAGTTGCTTAGAACAGCCTGAGACGCCGCGCGATGCTTAAGGTCGCGCAGCCGTCGTCTCTCAGCCCATACTTTACGAGCGCATGCAATCTTCTCAGCCTGAGTGGGAGCCTGTCGCCAAGCCGCCTCCAGAGCATGAAGAAGTACACGATCCTGACGCGCAGCAGCCCGAGCACTCATGCTCTTCCCAGTGTTGACTGCAGCCTTCCCAATGGTTCTCGAGAAGTCCTCCAGCGTCATATCCGAGGTGAGTGAAGAAGCTATCCCTGAAATATACTCTTCAGGTTGCTGAACTCGCCATCCGAGAGGTTTCTTCTCTCGCCAAACGCGTTCGTGTTGACATTCGTACTGCATGATGAGCATGCGGTGGTCCGTGACCGTCGCAGCAGTGTCCAGTACTTTAGTCTGTCTTACTCTTGCCCGACATGCTTTGGAAACCATAAAGCCATCAATGAAAGAGCCGTGGTACAAGGTCTGGCCCGATCCGAACGCATACCTGGTAGGTACACCTCCCCGAGGACAAAAGGTGCGCGAGAAAGCCAGCCCGTACTGCATTGCTAATAAGAGAAGCCACTCTCCACGTTCATTTCGTGTGCCACCCGAGAAGTCCCCAAGATACTGATCCTCCTCGTGAAGTTCTTTAGGGCCAAGCTCAGCGTTAAAGTCAGCACCCAAGATGAGAGTATCACCAGGCATATGATGTGTCGAGATGTAGCCAAAGATGAGGTTGGAGGTGTCATAGTAGCATTCTTCAGAAGTAGGTTGAGGAAGGTAAGTAGAGACAAAGAGAAACGATTTGTCCTTGATGGTGGCCCTCGCCACCGTCACACGAGGATGTATAGGTTCTGGAGCTTTGTGAACACAATGAAGGTGACGCCGATGAAATACAATAGCACATCCACGGTTCTGTAGGAGTGCCTGGAGAAGTTATGACAAAATGTCATTGAATTGAATTCGGTAAGTTCGTCGAGACCGCAAAGACCTCCTGCAAGAGTGGTACGTCCCACTCGCACTCCTCTGATATACTTTCTAGAAACCCACTGAACGCATCAAGAGCCATCCCACAGCAATTGAGCGTAACGACATTCAAGTTCTGAATGATCTTCTTACCCCAAAATTTAGAAAGTCTATCTCTAGTCCCGAAACGAACGGCGCGCCTTGAAGTCCTGCTTGCTCTGCTCCACTCTCTGCTGGAACGTCTCGTCATCCTTAAGATCAGACTGCTGCAGCTCGGCATTGAAGTTGGCCAGGGTGAGCGTCGGCAAACCCATGGCGTTGATATACGCAACCTGTTTGCGCTGACCCATCTCATCAGGAAGCCTGATCTCGCGCTGCGGAAAGACAATCTTGAATCGGCGCCCTTTGCCCTCAGCCTGCGAAAGCACAATAGCCATGTTCACCAGAGTCGATGTCACCTGACGCTGCTCCATCGACTGATGCTTCTTCATCCACAAACGAAGTCCAGGAAGCGGAGGGCCTCCATCACCACCAGGAGCAGGAGTATACTGTGCCTTACCACTGTCAGTGCCACCAAAGTTGTCCCGATCGACGCATTCACGATGCTTCCCCAATAGTGCCCAAACTGCACGATCATCACGACAATACACTTCTGCATGATTCCCAGGAGAAGCGCACCACTTACGAGTAATAGCAGTTGGGTCCACCATCGAGCAGATCTTGTCCAGGTAAGGTAACATTTCATCTTTGTCTGAAGCCTCAGGGAAGCCTCCAATCACGATCTTCAGGGCATCATCGCCCATGGGCGGGCCAGGACGTGGTGGCCCAGCAACGGTAGATGCCGTACTTGCAGGCCTTGACCCTGCTTGAGCCTCCTGAGCGACTCGAAGAGCGTCCGCAGCCATCTTCTGAGCACTCTGAGCCGCCTCAACAGCTGCGTCCGCCTTCTTATCCACAGCCCTCAAATCATTGTGCACCTTCTTGAGTTTAGTGTTCACATTCCTGTCCATCCCCTTCATGTACTTGAGCAGGTCGGCATTCGTGATCTCTCGCGAGGGTGACCTGTCTGCACGTCGCCTATCCTCATCATCGGACATACCATCAGTAGACATAGCAGGAGAGCCATCAGCTCCGCGTTTAGACATGAAGCGAAATAAACCGACGGACCGTCCGCGCGCGGAGTGCGGCAGGCGCTGCTGATGCCAACAGTGCTTGAGCCAAAATGGCTAAGGAAGAGGAGGGGGAGGAGGATGGGGGAGGAGGAGGAGGAGGAGGAGGAGGAGGAGGAGGAGGATGAGGAGCTCCGTTCTCCCCCATCCTACATGTGCCAGTGGGGGTGTGAATTGGCCCACCACTCATGGGGAGCTCCCCTGGCACCCCCCGACATGGACAGCACCGGCCCGAAGATCTCCTCGCGGCACGCCGCGTTCTGGGGGGACCCGTGCCGCAGGATGGTCGGCCCGACCCAGAAGCCCTTCGGCCGCGCCGTCGCCCAGGCGCGGCCGTCCACCAGCACCTCAGGGAGGGGAGCTGGCCGCGCGAGCACTATTTCATCGATACCTGCCCCGACTGCTCTGGCCTTGGCCCCACTGATTGGCCTACCCCCAAGATGGGGATGCCTGATCCGGGGCCGAGGAACCGCAGGGCCCCCCCCCACGGATGGGATGGGCCGGCCCCAGGAGTCACAGGCCCACTCCCTGATGGGATGGGGGGGAACGACGACGACACCACCACCAAAACCACCACCACCACCACCACCACGGCCATCACGCCACGCCCTATCCCAACCAGGTGGGGCTGGCTGGCGGGAATAAGATGCGGTGGTGCAGTGACTGGGGATGGAGATCGGTCAAACGATGCTGACCGTGGATGGGAGAGCGGCACGAACAAGTGAGGGGCAACGACAGGGAAGAGGACGGGCTCAGGGAGGGGAGGGGAAAATGCCGAGCTCGAATCGACGACGCATCGCCGATATGTCGGCGACGGGCCCCCGGTGGCCAAACCGCACACTCTGGGGCGGGATGTGCTGCAGGGCACCCGTCAGGGACGCGCGGGCGATCGGGGGTCGACGCCTTTTTCCCCCACCCGGGAGCCCGTGCCTCCCCCAGCGTTATGTTGTTCCCATCCTACTTTAGGACCACATCCCAGAAATAATTTCGAGCCACCGGAAAAGTGTCGAAAGAGTGTCGAAAGAGTGTCGAAGCAGTGTCGGGCGAGGGTCTCCCAGGGCCCGGCACGTGAAAACCCTCGAGTTTCGATATTTGCTGTGGTGCTCGACATTCTTTCTGGTGATCGAAGCTAGAGTAGGTTGGAACAGCATGACCCCAGCGCCGTCCCCAAACAAGCGGTGGCGCAGCGGAGGGGGCCCCCCGAGAAGCCTGGAGGGCCCCTGGGGAGGCGGGGGGCCTCTCGGGAGCTCGCCCCCGGCGTCCGGGCGGCCGGCTCGGGAGCCCTCGGAAGCCCGCTCCAGGAAGGCCCCCCCCCGCCCCGCAAGAGGCCGCGCGCGCCCCGCGCCACGGCCCCCTGCGGACGCCGCGAGGCGGGGGTGCTGCTCTGGATCTCCTGACGGCCCGCACGCGCCGGGCCACCAGTTCTGCCACCGCCCCGAGGCTTCAAGGGATCTGGCAGAGCCAGCGATGCTTGAGCAGGGACCGACCGTCCCGGCTTTCCCAGAGGCCTACCACGAGACTCTCGTAGAACCCAAAACATGCTCCACGAACAAGAACACTGTTCTTTAGAACATTAACCCGATGTGTTAAAACAAGACAGTCCCAGCCAGACATGTTCTCAGAACACTTCGTGCGGACCACAAAAGGTTCTTGGAACATTCTTTGGTGGGCCTGTAGGCGAGCCAGGACGCTTCGCCACTTCTTGAGATGATGCCCGTAGACACCGCTCCCCGGGCCACCTGCGCTCCATCGCGCGACTCCGCCTCGCTGATGTATCGTAAGATCTTGTCCTTGCTGGCCTGGTCGATGACTGGCCCGACCTGCCCTGGCTCCTGGCCCGCCTCCAGGGCCGAGGCCTTCTTCACAAGGAGCTCCATAAACAGCTTGAACTTTTCCTCCGGCCCGACCAGCACGCAGACGCTGGCTGCCATGCAGCGCTGGCCGGTGCTGCCCGCGAAGCTGTTCATGATGTCTGTGGTGCACATGTCGTAGTTCGCGTCCGGCAGCACGCATAGGTGGTTCTTCGCGCCGCCCAGGCACAGCGCCCTTTTGTTGAGCGCCCGCGCCTTATCAGCCACGAGCTTCGCCACGCGGGAGGTGCCCACGAAGGACACCGCTTTCACGGTCGGGTGCTCGATCAACGCGTCCACGGTAGGCTTTACGCCGTGCACAATCTGAAAGATGCCGTCTGGCACGCCCGCCTGCTTGAACAGCTTGGCCAGGAACGTCATGGTCAGCGGCACCTTCTCGCTGGGCTTGAGGATGACCGCGTTGCCGCAGCCGATCGCGATGGGCACCGTCCAGAAGGGCACCATGACAGGGAAGTTGAAGGGCACGATGGCCGCCACCACGCCCAGGGGATCGCGCACCTCGCGGCAGGAGATGCCCTGCGACACCTCCAGGTAGCGCCCCGCCGCTACCTGCGGCAGCGACGTGGCCCACTCCAGCGTCTCGACACCAAGAACAACAAAAAGGGCGCAGACATGAACGATGGGCTGTCGGGGCGGCTTTCCTGGGTCGGCGCTGGACCCCGGCGGGCGACGCGCGTCAGGGGCGAGGCAGCACCGCCCACGGAAGCTCCTGGCGCCGACCCACGGAAACCTCGAGGACCTCCGGAGGCTCGTGCTTGTGCCGCGTTTTGTTCTTCTGGATGCCCTTGAGCAGCGAGGCCTTGCCCTCCGCCACGTTCTTGCCGTGCTCCCTCCTGATGATCTGCACGATCTCGTCCTGGCACTCCTCCATCAGCGCCTTCAACTTGAATAAGCACTGCACGCGCGCCTTGTAGGTCTGCGTTCCCCACTTGGCCTGCGCGGCGGCCGCTATCTTCACCGCTTCGTCCACGTCCTCTCTCGTGCTCTCTGGCACCTGTCCGATTACGCTGCCGTCCGCTGGGTTCGTCACTGGCACCGTAGGCCGGTCCTCTGGAACATCCACGTACGCGCCGTTGATGAAATTCTGCAGCCGCGACATCGGGACGGAGCGCGGATAGGACAGGAAAAACCTTCGTAACTACGGGCGGTCCCAAAGCCAGCGCCCACGTCTGGAATGTAATGAAACTTTCATCCAAATTTGAACCAAACTGGCTGCCGACAAGAAAAAGGAGGGATAGGATGCAAACTGGCGTAGTTTTTGAAACGGTCAGATGTGTGCATGTGTGTACCAGCGCGTCGGAGGAAAATGTGCGTGCGCGTGTGCGTGTGTGTGTGTGTGCATGGGTTTGTGCGCGTGCGCGTTCGTCTGCGTACGTGGGCGTGTGCGCGTGGGCGTGTGGGTGTGGGTGCGGGTGCGGAGCCCCTCACCCGACGCCCCAGCCGCAACTCCGACTGCGTCGACGACCCCAGCCCCAACTCCGAAGGCACCTCGACGCCGACCTCCAGACCTCTGCGCGCTGGGACTAGAATGCAGTGGGGAATCCGAGGCCAGGGCCAAAGACGACCCAAAGCCTCGAACATGAAGCCTCGAGCGATCGACTCCGACCTAAACAACGACGACGACGACGACGACGCCACACGAACCCCGTCCGACTCCGACAACATCGCCGGCACGGCGCCGGCCGACAACGACGACGACGACGACGACGACGACGGCGACGGCGAAGACGAAGACGCCGCCAGACGCCGACCGACGCCGCCGACGACGGCGCCCGCCCCGCGAAGCCGACGACGGGCGACCGACGACGACGCCGACGACGTCGACGAAGCCGCCGACGCCGACGTCCACGGCGGCGCCCATCCTGGCTGCTGGCCGAAGGGCCCCGGGCTCACCCGGGAGCGGTGGCTGGGCGGCTGCCTCCGCACCCCGCGCCCGCGCGCGCGCGCTCGTCGGCGTCGGCGTCGGCGAGGTCGGTCGTCGGTCGTCGTCGTCGTCGTCGGTCGCCCGTCGTCGTCGTCGGAAGAGGAGGAGGAGGAGGAGGAGGAGGAGGAGGAGGACGACGACGAGGAGGAGGAGGAGGAAGAGGAGGAGGAGGAGGTGGAGGAGGAGGAGGGCGAGGGGGAGGAGGAGGCAGAGGGAGGAGGGGGAAGGGGGAGGAAGGAGGATGAGAGAGGGCGCAGGAAGAGAAGGAGGAAGAGGAGGAAACAAAATTATATCTGTACCAGCCAGGCGAGGGACTAGGGCGGGAAGCGCCGCTTTTGTCCACGCGGCTCGTCCGACGAAGCGGAAACAAAGGGAGAGGTGGATGACACAGGGAAAAGCGAGGAGGAGCTGGAGGACTGCGAGGAGGAAGACAACCACAAAAACGATTAAGAAAACGATAACGACCTCGAGAGAGGCGGACGACAAGATCGACGAGGGAAGGAGAATGGCAGCGTAGAATAAGAGGGGGACAGCGTAGATGAGGAAGGGGAGAGGGGAGGACGAGGAGGAGGAGGAGGAGGAGACTCTCGAGGAGAACGGCAAGAATATGAATATGACAAGACGGAGGAGGACAAGGACGACGGACAGGATGACTAATTCGGAGAAGAGCAGCATGAAGAACAGCGTGGAGTACAACGAGAAAAACGGTGCAAGTACGGATAAAGATATGGAGGTTGACAAGGGGGAGGACGACGCAGAAAGAGAGAGGGGGGGAGGAGGACGACGACGAGGAGGAGGAGGACGACGGACGAGGAGGCGGAGGAGGAGGACGAGGAGGAGGAGAGGAGGAGGAGGAGGAGGAGGAGGAGAGGAGAGGAGGAGGAGGAGGAGGAGGAGGGGGGGGAAGGGAGGGGAGGGGAGGGGAGTGGAGGGGACGGGAGGGGAGGGGAGGGGAGGCGCCTGTTGGGGCCTCCTGGGCGCCTCTTGGGGCCCTCTTGAAGCGCTCTTGGGAGCCTGGGGAGCGCTCTTGGGGCCATCTTGGAGGACATCGATCAAACAAGCAGCGAGCATTAGTTAGCGTTGCCCCTCGGGAGCCCACAACATCGCCTCTTGGGGCGCTCGTGGGGCGCTCTTGGAGCGCTCTTAGGCGCTCTTGGGGCCGCCTTGGGGCTCTCTTGGGCCTCTCTTGGAGCCTTATTGGGCCATATTGGAGCCATCTTGAGGCCTCGGATGGCCATCGGAAGCGAAAAGGCGAGAACGCCAACCACCTACATTGTCCTAAGGTTTTGGCCTCTTCGGGGCCTCCTGGGGGGGCTCTTTGGCCACTTGGAGCCGTATTGGAGCGATCGTGGGGCATCTTGGAGCATCGTGGGAGCCAGTATGAAGCATCTTGGGGTATCTTGAGCCATCTTGGAGGTCATCGTGGGCTCTCCCAGGCGCTCTTGGAGTCATCTTAATCAGTGTCCCCCCAAGAGGCCAACATGTCGCTAAAACCTTAGTACCATCAATGATTTGGCATTCTCGCCGAGGCCTCTTGGAGTATACTGAGTGCCTCTGGGGGGTATCTTGGGGCCTCTTGGAGGTCTCTTGGGAGCCGTTTCGGGGAATCCTGGGGGCCTCTTGGGGCTTCTGGGCCACCTCTTGGGGCCCTCTTGGGGCACCCTTGGGAGCCCTGGGAGCCATCGTTGGGCCATCTTGGGTGAGATCGATCACAGGAGGGGGGTCATTAATTAGGGTCCCCCCTCAGGAACACCAGCTTCCTCGCCGAAGACGTTTTGGACGCCGTGACACCTCGCGAAACCCCCAGTCCATGTCCAGGGGAGGGGGTAGGGGGGGGTAAACCCCTCCACGAAGGGGAAAAAGGAGGTTGGAAGAGGAAACCGCCTAAACCACCTACGCCCAGAGGGCTGGTGGGATTAGCGTGACGAAAACACCCAACCATATGTAGCTGCGGGTGCCGCCTTGTGGGTGCCGTGTTCGGTGGAGCCTCGTTCTGGGGCCACGAAACATGCGAGGGGTGAGCCGAACTCGGCGGGGCGGACGCATGTGGACACCGCCACTGGGGCCCTGGGTGGGGGAGACGCACGCGGACCCTGCCATTGGGACCTGCGTTGGAGCTGCTTAGGGGGCCACGGGGCGCTGTCCTGGGCTGGGGAGACGCATGCGGACCCTGCCACTGGAGCCTTCGGTGGGGCCCCCTATGGGGCCACGAAACGCTGTCCTGCGTGGAGTTGGCGCATGCGGACCCTGCCACTGGAGCATTCGGTGGAGCTCCCTGTGGCGCCACGAAACGCTGCCCTGGATGGCGTTGACGCATGCGGACCCTGCCAGTGGAGCCAGGGACCATGAAACGCTGTCCTGGGCTGGGCAGACGCATGCGGACCCTGTCACTGGAGCCTTCGGTGGAACGCCGTACGGGGCCACGAAACGCTGTCCTGGGTCGGGGGGGCTCATGCGAACGG